AAGGCCTCTGATGGTAAATAGAGGCTGGAGGGCGAGTCAATCATGAGTTCCATTCTCAGCTGCAGAGGTCTTTCCTGAAAGCCTCTGACAGCGAAATGGAGGCTGGGGGTGACGTGCATGAGCAGTGATGAGTGGCCACAGAAGAAGTGGGTGGGGCTGTCAGTGCCACCGCTGTGAGGTGAGACAGGGGAAAAGACATCCCCCGAAAATAAAACCTGGTGCCTCTTTTGGAGGCAAAAAAAAAGACCAGGTCTTATTTTCAGGGAAACATAGTATAGACCTAGCTTTTCTGCCTGGTTTTCAATAATTTAATCATTTAAAATTTAAACTATTTTAGTTTAATGTGAATGGCATTAACTTTAATACATTTAGTGCATTTCAAACTTTAAAACATAAACCACCTGGAACCATTTATGAAGAATGATATAGAATAATAATTATAGGTATTATTATTTTCACAAATAATTGAAATAATGCTTTTCATCTAAAGTATGCCAATTTGTAAACGTTAATACAGAGTACAAATAGAATACTGTAACTTTAAAATTAGATTGGATTGCCAAATGTTTTGTATTCTCCCTTGGTATCCAGGCATGAAGAGGATGTCCAGCATTTTAAAGTGATGAAGGATACAAACAACAATTATTTTCTATGGAGTGAAAAGTTTCAATCACTAAACAAACTTGTGGAGTATTACAAGAATGTTTCTATCTCCAAAAACAAACAGATATTTCTGAGAGAAGACATCAAGAAAGGATCACAAGTAAACCTTAGAGAGGTCAGTTTTTATGATAGCATAGAAGAAAAAATGTAATCCAGTAAGGTTTGTAAAAGTTGTAAGCCAGTAAGGTGACTTTTGCCATGAAATTAGCCACCCCATCAACCTTTTCATTAGTTGTTTCTAGTTGGTTCTTCCTCCTTTCATTATTTTTTTTATAGAAGCCTTAACACAGGGCTCCCCAGTGGCATTAAATCATTACATCAACCATACCAAGAAAGCATGGCTACTGGTCTGATGATTGACAATGAGACTTATAGCCCAAAACATTGGAGAAAACTGATTTGAAACAGTAGGTTATATGCTGGGCTAGATACATGCTATCATAATGCATACCATCAATACCAATGCTAGAAGACTAATTCATTTTGAATTCAAGTACCAACTAATTTTAACATTTCTAAATCAATCCTTAATAGTCTTAGATAGTCATCTTCCTCATCTCTCTCCAGAATTAAAATAGTTCTGTGAATACTTTATTAAAGATTCAGGGCTGATTTGAACTATTCTTGCTGTTTTATATACTATATATCAAAAGTTTTGGCTCTCTTCATCATAGTGAAATACTGATTATACAGATTCTAGAGACACATTCGAATTCTACTCAAAATAAATTTCTGAAGACCTCTGTAAAAAAAAGTAAATAATCTATCAGTTAAGAAAGGTTACCAAAACTCTGTGGCTCCACCAATGCACAAATATTCAGTAGTCTTCAAATAGGGAAGATTGACATCAGTGATCACAATAAAATTCCCAAGCGTGGCCATCCTGTCAAAATCACTCTCAAGAGCATAGCATAAAGGCATCCAGAATGACTTTCTTAGAACATTTTCTAAAGAACTGCAGGCATCTTCCAAATCATTAGATAAAAATGAGATTTATGGAAAAATAGCAAGGATTACTATTGATACTCATTTCAAGTTTGCTGAAAAGCATTGGAGCTAAAATTCCAGTCAACAATGGACTACTGTGGACTATGTGGCTGTTGTTAAGACTGGTAGTAACCAAATACTGCATTCCACAATAAGCTCATGCCAGCTGGATAAACATGAAGATGGTAACATTATGGTTTGGGGGTTCTCAGCTGCTTCAGAACCTGGACAACCTGAAGGAAGGAAGCACACATTTTATGTAGACTCAGAGAATCTGATAGAGAATATCAGCAATGTGTCCATTAGCTGAAGCAGAAATAGTAGACAGCATCAACAGAGGGATAGTATCAAGATCACGTGAAGTATTAGCATCACTTTATACTGCAGAGATAAGACCACACTTTGGATATTGCATTCAGTTTTGGTCACCATGATACAAAAAACATGTTGAGATTCTAGAAAAAGTTCAGAGAAGAACAACAAAGATATTTAGGGGGCTGGAAGCTAAAACATATGATGAGCAGTTGTGGGAACTGGCTATGTCTAGTCTAACGAAGAGAAAAAATAGGCCAGATACGATAGCAGTTTTCCAGTACTTGAGGAATGGTCACAGAGAAGAGGGGATCAACCTATTCTCCAAAGCACCTGAGGGCAGGACAAGAAGTAATGGATGGAAGCTTAACAAAGAGAGATCCAATCTAGAATTAAAGAGAAATTTCCTGAGAGTGAGAACAATTAATCAGTGGAACAGCTTTCCTCCAGAAGTTGTGGGTGAGTGCTCCATCACTGGCGGTTTTTAAGAAGAGATTGGACAGCCATTTGCCAAGAACTGTATATGTCACTTGTTCAAGCAGGGGTTGGACTAGAAGACTTCCAAGATCCCTTCCCACTCTGTTATCTCTGTTAGCTTTGCTGGCTGATGAATTCTGGGAGTTGAAGTCCACAAGTCTTAAAGTTGCCAAGGTTGAGGACCCCTGCTCTATACTTAGG